GTCGCTACCTTAAATCGTTCGAAAACGAAATATCGTCGAGCTAATTGCCCTTTATCTCTTTTTTTAATAACTGAAAACGCAAAAAAATTGAGATCTTCCATAAAGTTTCTCCCAAAAAAACCGAACACCTGAAACATTGCTTTATATTTTTAATAATTAGAAACCCGATTGCATTTATACACTTAAACCGGAGAGAAATTATTTGGAAATTTAATTTCTGTGACATAATATATTAACACTTAAACAGCGGAGCCTGGGTCAATCTAGGTCCAAATTTACAAAACATATACATAGAAGAATATTAATCTAAAATGAAATCGATAATTTTTAAAGGAAAGTTTCATATATTGGAAGAATATTTAGAGGAACAGTGTAAAATTTAGTAAATAAAAATAATATGAAATACGAAATCAAATTGAAATTGGGGTTCTCTCCTCGGTCCGTCGTTCAAGGATTAAAAATAATTAAAATTGATCAAGCAGACGATATTCTATATCAGCAGTCCATAAATTACAATTCTGCTTCTGTTTTTATATCCTCAACAGTTGAGGATACTGTTTTCGGTTTTGAAATGTTGAAAAAAAAATTACATACATATAAAATGTTTAAGTGACATGACATTCAAAGTCGTGTTCATAAGTAATTCATAAATAATTTTTCAACCTCAATTATAGGGAATGTTATTAAACGAAGAAATAAAAACTCCTGATTATAGCTGTATTTTAATTTCATCAATAAAGAATTTATGAGAACATCTTTTATTTTATAAGTAGTTATCTACATAATTTTAGTTTTGTCTCTTAGCCGATAAAGCTAAAAAACATTTAATATTCGGCAATATATAAAAAAAGTTTGTCGATCATTGTTCTATATAATAATATTTTTATATGTAATCGATATCCCCTAAAAATCTGAACTCGCTTCTCCTCGAAAATGTGAACCTTCATCATTTAAAAATTTTAGGATTTCAGAACTTCGGAATTCAAACATTCCAAACTTCTGAGCTTTCAGAATTCAAAAGTTTCAAAATATCAAAATTTCAGAATTCAAAAATTCCGAGATTTCAGACTTTCTAAATTCTAGAATTTAAAAACTTTAAAACACAAAAATTCCAGATCCTAAAAAAATTTATGTCAATGATAGACATCTTTGCTGAAACTTTACAACTTATGTGTATTTACACGTATTAACTAGTTATTGCACACATTTACTGTAATTTTTATATTTTTACGGTGATATATATTACCTTATTTCTTAAACATATTACAGGAAGACGATAAAATGGGAAATTAATATTCTGCCAATCCTCTTTTCAAACATCTTTTCCATGATGCTAAGATTTTTAGATTATAACATTAAATCGATTTTCAATTTTATTATAAAATGAAATGATTATTCGTTCGAATAATAATCTAAATTATAGTCAGAAGAAAAAGTATCAACAGCGCAGTTCAGCGACCGTTAAACGTGTTTGCCCTTCGCTAATCGCAAGTGCGCGTGCAAAAACTCGCACACAATCGAAGATGGCAACAAGTTCAACGAGCGAATCGCCCCCAAAAGTCCGCTTGCGTCGTGCGTCTTCAAAATCAAAAGTTTCCACCACCACCGTTGCCTCGCGTCGCTGAGCTGAATCCCCTCCATCATACACGGGCCCTTCGTCGTTCGTCGCCATTACAGAATCATTCCGAATAGAACGGTCGGCGGGTACGGATGTATTATATTATATTGACTCGTGCGTCGCTTTGTTTAGAAAAATTAACTTGGAGTAACTTGTGTGTAAACGTGCGTTTTGCAGTTTAACTTCTAACTAGTTATTCAGTGTTACTAACTAACTTTTTGTAATTATACTTTGAAATTGTATTAATTTCAGTTCTCGGTTTTTTCTGTAGCTGCTTGTGCGCGTATCGAGACAAGTTCTGAAGTTGCGAATTCGGTGCTCGTTTTCCGCGAAGAAGGTTTCATTGAAGAATCATCGTGTTTGGTCGACGTTACTTTATGTGGAAACGAAAACTGCAAGCAGATCGAACCTGGAGAACGTTATTACCCTCAACCAGCAGACCATGGGCATCTTCGAATTCTGGTAAGTGATACAGTTTCTATTTTTTTTGACATTGTATCTTTGCATGAAAATTTTCATTTTGCGTTTAATAATGATTGCCGTCGGCAGAAGCGAATCAAGTGAAGGGGGCATTTTCCACGATACATAGAAAATAAGCCAATTTCAAGTTCCTTTTTCTCAGAATTTACCTTAGGCATCAACTTCAGAGCATCTAGTGTATCATACTAAATGCGTACTTGAGCTACAGGGAATATTGAAATACGGAATAGAAAAATTATACAAGCGTATAAATGTGTGGATTTTTTTGTACTCTTACCTTCGACATAAAAGATGCTGCTAGTCTTATTGTAAGCCGAATTTCAGAAAAAGCTTTTCCTAAAATACGTGTTACCCTTAGTAGTAAAAACCCACAAAGTTGTAACTAGATCGGTCGAATGGTTACTGAGAAAAAGGAACACGAGTGCAGGAAAACGTGTGATTTTATATAGGAAGTATTTTTCTAAAATTTTGCCTCTATCAATTTACGCGTTAAGCTCAACTTTGTGAACAATTCTCAAAAATTGTTTTAATTGTAAATTCTGATTCCGAATATTGTTTATTATTACATAAAGAAATAAAAGAATTCGATTTTTGGAACCCCAAAATGCCCACTTCTCTTAAGATTTCTGGTGCCCTGAGACTATAAAACTTTCGTAAGTCCCCATAGTTGATTTTAGTTCGAAAATTGCAATTAATTCAGAATACTGTAGTAGAGGGTTCTTTCCGGAAATGGAAAATTACCGAGCTTCGATAATACGGAAACATCGAAAGGATTCGCATTTTAATAATTTAATGATCTGGAAAGTTTAAAAAAAGAGGATTTATTTTTTTGTCAATTGGATTCAAAATTTGCAAAATTATAGTTATAGATTATAGTTATAGTGGCAGAAGTTTAGTATGGTGACAACGCTTTGCAGAGGTATGACATATATAATTATGAAGAGTGAGTCGAGGGGAGTAAAAATCCGAAATAATTATTTTGAGGAAATGAACGGTTTGTGAGATATTTGCAAAAAACTGCTACTACTACTGCTACATCAGGATCTTACCTATTCGTGTACGTCCCTGGCAGCGGATGTGCTGGCGTGGTGCGACCGCTTCTGTACTGGTTTCGCTCGCACACGCTGGCGGCCGATTCAAATTTTTTAAACGCACAAATTTCTAAGTTATTAAATTATTACAGTAACTAAACTATAATTATTATTGATTATCACACTATCTATTATTTACACTAGATTGCAGTTATTACAATATTATTCGGAGTCATTATCATCACTATTTAAATTTAATGTTGGATAAACAGTTTTAATATCCTGTAGTAGTTGGTCAAACGGATCAAGTCCTTTCATTGCCACATGTAGGCATACATGTGATCCGCAAGATTCTCTTTCCGGTATCCTGCATTTGTTACATTATATTTTAAATGTTTCCACGATCCTTCAACCTTTTGGGTATTTACACCCGTTTCCTCATTTACAAATCGGCCGGTACCCATTTGGCTGTGGTTGACTGTTTTATGCTTATAATTCATCCGTGGTATGTTTTCGATATCGTTGTATCCTCTCCAACAGTCTGTCCATATTTCGGTTCCCGCGGCCACGTGTTTTGTAATCAGACTGGTTAGGGTTTCTGAATCTCGCCTGTTATCGGGACAAATTTCTAGTCGGTAACCACTTCCATCCTTCTCTATCATCCCTAATATCCAGTTTCCTTCTTTGGGGCGTCCTCTATTATATTTCCGTTTACCGACTAAGGATTCGTCGATCTCAGCGACTTTTCCTTCGCCCCCGATTGACCCTTCGTCTATAAGCCGAGCGTCTAGTGCAATTAAACAAATTTCCCTACAATAAGAATACCAGTCTACTACCGTCGCCTTGGATGTGATATCTGTCAACGATGTCTCCTGTATAGCTTGCTTTACGTTTAATTTATTTGCAAACGCATAAATAAGAAGTACTACTTTTTCTGGCGACATTTTAATATTTTCAAACCAGCTATTTTTTACCGCACTAATTGATTTTGTCATCGAAACCTCCCTTACTTGTAGCTATCGAAATTCATTTTCTTTTTTCTTTTAAACCGGCTCATACAAACTGGGCAGTACATTTCTTTTGTGATTAGCGAGTGGTCCCGTAACCACTCTAAACGTGATTGTCTGTCTTTTAAGCAAGTAGTTGTCAATTTAAAAATATTCATGATTAAACTTAAAATATAATAGCTTCTATAGTTCTATGGTATATTTATATACTATCACTACGTTATCTATTACTTAAAACTAACTTCTATCGCTTAAAAATTGCGGCGGCTGGTTCGTTCACGAGACCGAAAACTGACTATTCGCATTGAAACTAACACAGAAAATACCTGAATAATAAAACATCGCACTCGGAACAGTATTACATTTCCTAAGGGAGAGGGTATAATTTTTATGTTTTCGTTTTTCTTTACCTGGGACCCACGATGACGAAGACCGAGTAACCACCTCGATTCCTCGAACATTTGTATTCTCTTACAGGTAATTATATAGAAATGGTAGCTCCTAACCGATTTCGATGATTCTCCAACATGTTGTAGAAATTAGCATTTTAAACAACTTCTTTCGATACATTTTTCAGATATAAGGATCGGTTACTGTTTACAATTTAATAGCGGCCGCCAAATCATGCGAGGTTTGGACGTTCAAAAAATTTGAATCGGCCATCGGCGTGTGCGAGCAAAAGCAATAAATAAGCAGTCGCACCATGCTAGCGCACGCGCTGCCAGGGACGTGCGCGCATACGTAAGATCCCGATGCAGTAACAGTAGCACCTTTTTGCTAATATCTCGGGAACCGTTCATTTCCTCAAAACAATTATTTCGGTTTTGTGTTACAACCCCCCCCCCCCCCCCCCCCCCCCCCCGTTGTCACCATACTAAACCGCCGCTTTTGTTTTTATAGTTGATTCCAAATTTTTTAATTCAATGAGTATTTGTTTTGTACATGGAATTAAAAGAGAAATTGTAGCATATGATTCGCCACTTGGTTTTTCAATCATAACAGCAAATATTTTCAAACAAGCTAAAATATCTGGGATACAGTTTCTTTCTTCATTGTTCAATAGAGGAATATTATTTTTTGATTAATAAAATAATATTATTACAATCTAAAGTTTTATGTATATGCCGTAACATCTCATAAGATGAATTCCAACGAGTATAAACTGATTGTACTAAAGTTGTAACTTCCATTTGACGTAGATTAAGTTCCTTTTTTAATTCAGCTGATTTCTTAGGACTTGAATGAAAAAAAGTAGTTATACGCTTACATTTCTTAAGAATGATGTAAACTGAAACTTCATTGTGAGAAGATAAATTTTCAGACTCATCACTCTCAAATAATCTGAAACATTTAATTAAAACTCAATAAGATCAAGAATAATAGATAGAATAATACATATTTAGATAGATTTAAATACTTACGTTATCACATCAGTATCTCTACTTGTAGTTAACGATGATGGCTTAGTTTTTAATATGGCATGATTTACATCTAACTGTATAGAATGGGCTCCGCAGGGAACATGCTTGACCTATTAAAATTGTAATATATTATACATGTGATATGTATAGGTTTTAAATATAATTTAAGCAAAAATTTATTAAATTTACCTTTAATATCTCACAAGTTGCTATCATATTTGCAGCATTGTCAGTCACAGCTCATACTAATTACACATTTGGATATATTTCTACTACTTTTCATTGAATTAAAGATTTGAGATTTTCAGCTGTTGATGATTCATCACTGACGTGAATAAAATTCAATAACGCTGCTTGTAGTTTAGAATCGAAAATAAAATGACCTGTAACCGTCAGATAAGATTCTCTGGCAACACTAGTCTAACCATCAAAAGTTAGTACTAAATACAATAGTATAAAATTAATTAAAAATGTAGAAGAAAGATATAAAAAACTAAAACATTTTGAAAAAACTCACTTGACAGTATTTAAGATAGTTATAATTTTCTTTTTCGTCTCTTCATACATTTTTGCAATTAAAACATTAGTGACTGTAGGTCGACTTGGCAAACTATAACGTGGATTCAATTCATTTACAAATTCTTGAAATCTAATATCATTTACTATGCTTAAAGGCTGAAGATCTCTAGTAATAAATTTCACTAGTGCTTTATCCAATATCATTTTTTGTTTGCTATTAGCACCATAACACAGTCTTTATTTTTTTATAAACTTCTTTAATGAAGGCTGATATTTAAAACGTTTTCGATATAAATTTTTCTGAGTATTAACACTGAAACAATAAAAATTAATAACAAACATGAATCTATACAAACAATAAAAGAAAATAAATTTATATTTGTACCATTGATTCTCAGTTTCTGTTCCAATTCCTTCAGGTTCACTCCCACTGGGGGTAGACTGTGAAGGGCTCCATTCCTCTTCACGTTCAATAGATTTTTTTAATTTAGAGGCATGATAACAATGTAGATGATCCCAATATTGCTTGTATTACCACTGCTATAGATTTCAGTATTACATATCATGCATATAAATAATTTCTTATCGTTAGGATCCTTTTTAAAAAACTCCCATACTTCTGATTTTTTTATCCTTGTTTTTACACTATATACAACAAAAGAATAAATTTATATCAGATAAATTATAAGAATCTAAAAATGTGTTAGCATTTTTTTAAATATAAAATAAATTATTAATTACTTCGAAGTTTGACATGCAGACTGAGCAGAAGATGATTGAATAGAACTTGTTGGTTTTGATACAAGAAAGCTTTGTAAAGTTGGTTGTTTCTTCCTTTTTGGGGTTGGGGATCTTCAACTATTGATTCTATAGGTATAGATAAATAACAGAATAGAGCAATAAATATACAATATCACTTAATGATTTTAGTTAATTTTACATGTAATTTTAATATAATTTGAATTATTGACTTACCATTTTTCTCTTCCCAATCCATATCGTATAATATGACAATAAACATTAAAATAACCTCACTTGCTAACCCCACTTGTTAACAATACAAGTAACAAATAACAAACTTTGGCACGTATTTGCAAATTCGCAGGAGGATCTTACAGCACAATTTTTGGACTTTCCTCATTTAACGTAGACTGTTCAGAACTTCAGAACTTTCGATATTCTTCAAAGTTTTTTTATAAACCTTCGACAATTAATCCCGGTCTACAATAAATGATTGAAGCTTTAAGCCTTAAGAAATTAACCAATTACAAACGCAGATGTAGAGAATAGTCGATTGTGGTTGGTCAATTCCTTAAAGCTAAAAGCTTAAATTAGCTATTGTAGACCAGGACTTATTGATATCGATAGAGGCTTTTCCTCTTTCTTCTTGTCGACAACTATCGATAGTTGGGCTTGTCGACAGTATAGATAAATATCGATAAACTTTGCATCCCTAGCGGAACAGGATACCTGTGCTCCGCACCATTCGGAGCGCGTCACTTTAACGACGTTTTAGGTACACTTTGACTTCGAATTTTTATTTGAAACGGTCAGAGCACATTCTCCAAATAGTATATTAATTTTCTAAGCAAAACAAAGGTGAAAATTTTTCATTTTACTTGCCCCCCCTTTAAGATTTCTGGTGCCCTGAGACTATAAAACTTTCGTAAGTCCCATAGTTGATAAATTTAGTTCGAAAATTGCAATTAATTCAGAATATTGTACGGCGTTAATAATTTCTCGCATTTAAGACTGTAGTAGAGGGTTCTTTCCGGAAATGGAAAATTACCAAGTGTCGATAATACGGAAACATCGAAGGATTCGCATTTTAATAATTTAATGATTTGAAAAGTTTAAAAAAAGAGGATTTATTTTTTTGGCAATTGGATTCAAAATTTGCAAAATTATAGTTATAGATTATAGTCATAGTTATAGATTTATAAATTTTAAAGTTAGAAAATTGTTTAATCATGAAAAATCATTAAGTCATCATATAATGATATAAAAATTTTAAAAAGGGGATATATTTTTTAGCAATTGGATAAAAAATTTATAAAATCACCGTAGATTTTATTGTTTGAAATTTTGTAAATTATTATATAATAATGGCGGTAAATAAGCATTAATTCTTTGCACACAATCTTTTTATTAGCGTCAGATTAAGGAGATATCTAAGAGGGACTAAATAAACTAAATTATCATTTATAAATTTTCTTTCTGATTTATTATCTGCAATTCGTATTCCTAGTTTATGTACCTCTGTCTCAGGGGCGCAGAAATATTTGCTCGGGTAAAGGGGGTTGCTAAGTGGAAAAACTTGAGGAGTTCGATGTTTAATCTACCATTTACTATGTTAAAAAATATTGAAGAATATTTTCCTTACTGTTGCCCCTTCTTTATATTATTTAATTTGATTTAACTCTATCTAGAATAAATCTCAATTCCTGAACCATGTTTATCAATCACTCGGACCCACGAAATCTTAATTCGGTTCTGCTTCTTACTGAAAATATCAACATATGTTAATACATTTATTAATATTATATCTGATGGGATAATCCTGATTGGAATGTCCGTTACAACTTTGGATTATTCCAAGCATTTCTAAGTACGGCAAAGATGGCCTCAGTGTTGTAACGGGGTCGGTCGGTTCGGTGCGCACGGCGTTGCGCACCGCGGCGGTTTCCCCGTGCCAGGGTTCGCATGGGGACAGGTTCGTGAAATAACGAGGCGGTGTTAGTAGAAAAATAGAAACATTTATTCAGAAAAGAAAAGTGTCGACTATCCTAGCGCCGGCTATCCTCGCCGGGTCGGTTGGGCGATGTTCTCCTGCCTCGGGAGCTACAATCAAAATGTCGTCTGGTGGTTAGACGCGTGGAGCCAAACTTAAGCCTAATGTACAGGACTTATGAACTACGGTCGGAACCCGGTCCGTCACAGAAAGTACGCGGCCTTAATTCTAGCGCAGGTCGTAGCCATCGCTACGCGGTCTTACAAGCTAACGGCGCGATGTCGGAGCGCGGAGTGAAAGCGCTGAACGGAGCGCGAACGCAAACAAACGCAAACGTACGCAAACGCAAGAGAGGTCGAGTCGGGATGGGATTGGCCCGGTTGGGCCGACGGTGTTTATTTAATCGCGCTGCGGTGTTTCGCGCTGCGGTGGAGTTGCGGCCCGCTTGCCTCACGCGGCTCGTCTTCTCGTACGCCGAGGTAGAACCGAACAGCGAACGAGTCGACGACCAATCCTGGCCAGCCTGGGTAACGCCACAAAGCTGGACGGAATCGGCTGCCAAAGGCAAATTGCGGTGCCGAGTAAGCTAGCGTTCGGAATCCCCGCGGAAGCACCAGCAGAGATTATGAACGCGCACTAGCTTGGTCACCCCGGGTCAACCACGGGACTGACGAGGCTAGGCGCCTACGGCCGCTGGACCTAGGGGAGCTGCCAGGTCGTAGCGTAGTGCAATGCTACGGCCCGTTGGCCAGAGATCTCTTCGCCAGGTCAGCCATGGCGTCGAGAGCTCTGGTGCTCCGGTCCGGACCTCCGAGGAGGTCCCCTCGGGGCCGAAGCCCCGAGGCAACTCATCGATCCGCGCATCGATCGGTCCTACTTATAGTCTAATTACTCGGGAGTGGGGATGCCGTCGCGGTGGGGGCCCGCGATGCGCGACGCCGATCCGCGGCTGTCGTCGCACCCCCCTCCTCCTCCGGGGAGACCAGGCGTAATCGGCTGGTCGCGCAAAAGATGAAGGTGACCAGGATAATTACCTCCGTGTACACGCACCGGATGACCCTTCCTTCGTGGTCCAGGTTAATGGTCCAGCGGCGTCCGTTCCTGGTCAGGCGGTGTCTTCTCACCCCGGTGTACAGCTGGACGGTGGTCCCATCCGCCAGCGTGTACGGGATGACGTCTTTTTGCCCCGGTTGGTCTACTGTGCAGGCTCCGACCAGTGTTGGCGTCGGTTTCGGCGGTGTTGTTTCCTGCCGGCAGCGGTTCGCCCAGGCGGCGTCGGCTACGGCTTCCGCCGTTATCCTGGCTGGTTCTCTGGTCGCCGGCGGTGGGTTCCCGAGCTCCGGTGTAGATGTTAAACCGGCGGCCTCCGCAAGACGCTTTGCCGTGTTGCGGACGGCCGTTGATATTCCCGGTGGTCGGTCTCACGGGGCCATCGGGAGCGGCGTGTGTTTCGCCGGAGTTAATTCGGCGGCTGGCGGCCGCCTGGCCGGTGTTTTGACCCGGGCCGGTCTCGTCGGCTTGCGGGTCGGGGCCTCGCACCAGGCTGCTCGCGGCATTGTCATCCTGATGAACTTTTTCCACTCTTGTGGTGTTAGCGAGAGTGGGTGGTCCTCTGCTTTCTCTCGCAGGTTGAGGCGGCGGAGTGCAGCCGAAATTTCCTCTTGTCGCTATCTTGCAGCCATCTCGAGTCTGAGCTCTCTGCCGCTGCTGCTGGCCTTTTATAGCCGCTGGTCCATGTCCGGTGGGGAGGGGGCCCGTGACGTCGCGCCCCTGCGCGTTGAAGTTGCGCGTTGGCTCGCTGCTGCTGCTCGGCTGCGCGCTGGCGTTGCGCGATGGCCCGTCGCTACCGCTTGGCTGCGTAGTGGCTTTGCGCAGCTTCGTGTCCCTTGTGCCGGTCACCGGTTTTAGGTCTCTGACGTAGACGTGGTCCACGCGTTTTCCTTGGCGGTCCCTTAGGTCGAAAATTACCGGTGAGACTCGTTTGTGGACCCTGAAGGGCCCGTCGTATTTCTTCGAGAGTTTCGCGTTCCTCGCGTCGGCTTTGCTGGACAGAATATGTGTGCGTTTCCACACGCGTTCGCCGATTTTCGGCTGCCAGTTGCGCCGCCGTTGGTTGTAGTGGCGTTGCTGGCGTTGAAACTCCTGGGCGAGTCGAATCCGGGCGAGTTCCTGGGCGTCTCTCAGATTTTTGAGACGTGTTGCCCATGGGGTGGTTGTCCTTCGCTGGTTCTCCTGTTGGAGGCTTCCTGGCGGTGTCAGTTCCCTTCCGGTGTTGAGGTATGCCGGTGTATATCCGGTGGAGTCGTGTCGTGCCGTGTTGTACGCAAATGCGATTTCTGGGAGATGTTCATCCCACGCTTTTTGCGTTTTTCCCAGGTCCTGGCTGATCATCGTTTTTATTACCCTGTTGGCTCGCTCCACGGGGTTGCACTGCGGCGCGTACGGTGGTGTGCGCCGGTGCTTGATGCCGCTTTCGGTAAGAGTTTTTTCGAACTCTTTTCCGACAAACTGCTTGCCGTTGTCGGTGGTCACGACACGCGGTGTTCCGTGGCGTAGGATGACCAATTCTCTTAGAGCCTTTGCGACGGCTGGTCCTGTCGCTCGTCGAAGCGGTCGGAGTTCTATCCACTTCGTGAACCGGTCCTGGATTACCAGTAGTGTCGTGTTTCCGGTTTTTGACCTCGGGAGAGGCCCGACGAGATCTGCGGAGACCATTTCCCATGGCTGCTGTACGTTGGTTGCGTACATATTTCCTGGGGTGGCCTGCTGGTTTACTTTGTATTCCTGGCATCTTGTACAGTCCCTGACGTATTTTGTGGCTTCGCGTAGCATCCCTGGCCAGTAATATGAATGGGCCAGGCGTGCAAGCGTTTTGGCCACGCCAAGGTGTCCGGCGGTCGGGATATCGTGTGCCTCTCTCAGGACCCTGGTTTTCTGGTCTTCCGGTACGCAGATCTTCCACTGCTGGTCCGGTTCAATCTCGTTGAAGTCCAGTGTGTGTAGGATGTTCCTGTACAGGATGCCGTTTTCGATCTTGTACTCCGGGTGGTCCTCCGGGTTGTTTTCGACTTCTTGGTACTTCCTGTTGTACCAGTTTCCTTGTGCTGGTTGCTGGACGCCGCAGACTGGCTGCGGTCGCCGTGACAGGGCGTCGGCGACCGTGTTTTCTGGACCTCGTCGGTAGCGGATTTCGAAGTCCCACTGGCCGAGTTCTAATGCCCATCGTGCGAGTCGTCCTGACGGGCTGTCGATTTTCTCTAGCCATTTTAGAGATTGGTGGTCAGTGACCACGATGAAATGGTATCCCTCCAGGTAGTGGCGCATCTTCCAGATGCCTCATTTTACTGCAAGACATTCGAGTTCGGTGGCCGAGTAGTTTTTCTCGGCGTTGTTCAGGGTCCGGCTGGCGTAGGCGATGACTCGTTCGCCCTGGTCGTCTTCTTGCGTGAGCACGGCTCCCAGGCCTTCCGTGCTCGCGTCGGTCTGTAGGATGAACGTTTTATTCCAGTCCGGCATCGCCAGGACTGGTGAATCGATGAGGCGCTTCTTTAGCTCGTCGAACGCCTGTTGTTGTTTCTCGCCCCACGTCCACCGTACGTCTTTGCGTAGGAGGGTTGTCAGTGGGGCCGCCTCTTTTGAGACGTCCGGTACAAAGCGTCTGTACCAGGATAGGAGGCCCAAAAATCTCCTCAGGTCCTTGATGTTGGCTGGCGGCGGTAATTCCGCTACGGCTGATACTTTTTCCGGGTCTGTCCGCAGGCCTTCGTTGTCCACGATGTGTCCAAGATATTTTAGACTGTTTCGTGCCATGTGGCACTTTTCCCAATTCGGGCGTAGTTTCGCCGCCCGAAGTCGCCGGAAAACCTCGGTCAGGACCCGTAGGTGTTCCTCGAACGTGGAAGTGACTATGACGATGTCGTCTAGGTAAGCGAAGGCGTGCGGCGCCATTTCTGGTGGAATCACTCGGTCCAGGAGTCTCTGGAATGTTGACGGTGCCGAGTGCAGTCCAAATGGCATGACGATGAATTCCATTAGTCCTCGTCCTGGTGCTGTGAAAGCGGTTAGTGGTCTGCTTTCCGGTGATAACGGAACTTGCCAGTAACCGTTCTTCAGGTCTATTGTGGAGAGGTATCTTGCTCCCCGCAATTTGTCGAGTGTCGCATTGACGTGCGGCAGCGGATACGCATCTTTGCGCGTGACCTGGTTTAATTTCCGGAAGACCACGCAGAAACGGTATTTCCCGTCCTTCTTCTTCACCATGACGATGGGTGAACTCCATGGGCTGCTAGATGGCTGTATTACCCCGTCTGTCAGCATCTTTTCGACTTCCTCGTCGATCAGTTTCTGCATGGCCGGGTTGCGTGGTCGGTACCGTTGTTTTATCGGCGTCGTTTCTTCGAGCCGGATCTCGTGCTCGATTAGCGGGGTGAGCCCTCGTATCCCCTCGAAAGCTCTCTTCTCGCGCCTTAGGAATTGGTCGAGCTGCTCCTGGTCATCTGGTGTGAGCTCTGCCAGGCCAATTGGCGCTTTTATCGTACACGGGACAGGTAGATTTGTCGGCTGGTTCTGGTTGTCTTTCCTGTCCACGCGTTGCTCTCCTAGCCAGACTTGCAGGCCAAGCCTGCGTAGTAGGTCCATGCCAATTAGCATAGGATAGGCCAAATTTGGCATGACGTAGAAGCGGTGTTTTCTACGCATGCCGTTGAACAGTCCCTGCCCCCTATAGCTGGCGTAGATTTTCATTTCTTGACCATTGGCTAAGGAGGAGGATAGCTGGTGGTCTTCTATCTCCCATCCTGCTTGCTTGCAGATTTCGGCCGTCTCGTCGCTGATGTATGACGCGGCGGCTCCTGTGTCGAGTAGGGCTTCCACGTAGCATTGTCCTACTCGGACGGTGATGATAATCCGGTCGTTTGCAACGGCCGTTGGCCGAGGGTTCTCGGCGATCTGGCAATGGACGGTCTTCCGGTCTTCTCCTGGCTGGTTCGGCTTTTCCTTCTTCTCCTGGTTCTTCTTGCGTGGAAGGTTTGTCTCGCTTCCGCGCTGGTCTGTGTTTGTTGGCCGGTTTACTGGGGCCGGGTCTTTCCGGCCCCTCTGGCGTTTCCCTGCCTTGCACATAGGCAGGTTCGTGTCATTTCGCCTACTTTCCCGCAGTAGGAGCAGAATCTAACTGCCGAGTTCGGGCATTTGAAACGGTCGTGCCCTGTCTGGCCGCATCGCCAGCAGTGCGTCTCCCGGTTGTAGTCGGTCGCGACTCTGCAGCCTTTGGTCGGGTTTGGTGTTCTCGGTCGTGGTTCGGGCCTGGTAGTGCGTTGTTCTTCGCTTCTTGTGCTGGTGCCCTGTTCTGCGGTCATACTTTCGGTTATTGTTTCCGCCCTGGTGATCAGCTCGCTTACGTCTTTAATTAGCGCCCGGTTGATGTAGAGCCGGAACGCTGGCTTCATATTGAAGTAGATTGCGTCCAGCAGCTCTACCTTGGTGTATGCTCCTCTGCGGCGCATTAACGTAGTTATCTCGTTAATAAAGGTGCTTAGCGGCTCGTCTGGACCTTGCTTCCGGCTGGCGATTTGCTAATCCAATCGCCTTTTCTCTCCGGCTGGTACGAAGAATCTTCGTAGCTATTCCTGGAGGTCCTGCCACGAGCATATTTTGACGGCTGTATTTCTGTACCATTTTTGGGCTTCGCCTCGTAATAGCTGAGTGAAGCCCGAGCGCATCTGGTGGTCGGTTAGGCCGTATGCTTCCTGTAGTTCTTCTAATTGCTCCAGGAACGCGTACGGGTCTCGTCCGTCGAAATGGCAGTTCCATTTTCGCATAATCTCCATCGTTTTTGCCCGGTCTTCGTGATGTCGGGCGGCTGGTTCTGGTGGAGCGGATGGACCTGCCGGAAATGCCGTCATCTCGGCGTTTGTATCTTCTCTACGGTTGGGTGTTGATGTGGCCGTGGCTGGACGGTTCCCCAGGTGTGTCCGGAGCCATTCTCGGGCCATCTCCGCGTGGAATTCGTGGTAGTCTCGGGTCTGGTCGGCTTCCTCCTTGTATCCCGGCTCGTCTTCCGGTTTGTCTGCAAACTCGTCCTGGTGTTCTCGGACGTAGTCTGCCAGGCTGGTCCGTAGCTGGACCCACGTTCCCAGCGTAGGCAGGTTTAGTCTACGCAATTCGCTGACTACCTGGTCCTTCCTCAGGCGATATACCCAAGCGATGCCGGCCATCCTGGTTTCCTCGGTTCGCTTCCTTGGAATCGATTCGTACAGCTGCTAGCAGACACTGGGTCTGGCTGGATTGCCTGTTCGCAGTTGCCTCGTCGATCTTGTCGGCAAATTCGGAGAGGTAGGCCGTCCGTGGTATATCCCTCTTGGCTGGTCTTCTTCTTCAGCTCGGTCTTCTAGCTGGCTCGTTCTGGTTTCTCGTTCTGCTTTCGCGTTCTTGGTTCTCGTTCTGGATTCTCGTTCTGTGTCTTCTGTGTTTTCGCTTCGATTGCTCGGTAGCTTCTGATCAGGAGTCCGTTTGCTCGTTCCTTATATACTAGATCTTAACTCTAGTGGCTCCACCGTCGCTACTATCGAACTGTTCGGGCGCCATGTAACGGGGTCGGTCGGTTTGGTGCGCACGGCGTTGCGCACCGCGGCGGTTTCCCCGTGCCAGGGTTCGCATGGGGACAGGTTCGTGAAATAACGAGGCGGTGTTAGTAGAAAAATAGAAACATTTATTCAGAAAAGAAAAGTGTCGACTATCCTAGCGCCGGCTATCCTCGCCGGGTCGGTTGGGCGATGTTCTCCTGCCTCGGGAGCTACAAGCAAAAGATCATCTGCTGGTTAGACGCGTGGAGCCAATCTTAAAGCTACTGTACATGACTTAAGAGCTACGGTCGGAACCCGGTCCGTCACAGAAAATACGCGGCCTTAATTCTAGCGCAGGTCGTAGCCATTGCTACGCGGTCTTACAAGCTAACGGCGCGATGTCGGAGCGCGGAGTGAAAGCGCTGAGCGGAGCGCGAACGCAAAAAACGCAAACGCAAGAGAAGGTAAAGTCGGGATAGGATTGGCCCGGTTGGGCCGACGGTGTTTATTAAATCGCGCTGCGGTGGAGTTGCTGCCCGCTTGCCTCACGCAGCTCGTCTTCTCGTATGCCGAGGTAGAACCGAACAGCGAACGAGTCGACGACCAATCCTGGCCAGCCTGGGTAGCGCCACAAAGCTGGACGGAATCGGCTGCCAAAGGCAGAATGCGGTGCCGAGTAAGCTAGCGTTCGGAATCCCCGCGGAAGCACCGGCAGAGATTATGAACGCGCACTAGCTTGGTCACCCCGGGTCAACCACGGGACTGACGAGGCTAGGCGCCTACGGCCGCTGGACCTATGGGAGCTGCCAGGTCGTAGCGTAGTGCAATGCTACGGCCCGTTGGCCAGAAATCTCTTCGCCAGGTCAGCCATGGCGTCGGGACCTCCGAGGAGGTCCCCTCGGGGCCGAAGCCCCGAGGCAACTCATCGATCCGCGCATCGATCGGTCCTACTTATATTCTAATCGCCCGGGAGTGGGGATGCCGCCGCGGTGGGGGCCCGCGATGCGCGACGCCGACTTGCGGCTGTCGTCGCAGATCTATGATATTAAAGTCCATTGGATGATAATGACAACCGTAGTCCAAGGGTTAAGCTTTTTCCAGGCTTCTTCTCTATATCCATTCATCTTGTGTAAGTTCCTTGCAGCAGGTTAACAGGAATGTAGATTATTACCAAAAAAAAGAAAAGTAATTGATGTAATTAGTATTTCAGTTGTTAAAAAAGTTCGAGTGAATGATCACAATCTTTGTACTAGTTATATGGAAATTGTACTCACCAAAATTTGAAATAGAAGTTTCTTCTTTCTCTTCGATGCATCCATTCATCCCATATAAATTGATTTAAGCAGGTTGACAGGAACGTAGATTATTGCCGGAAAAAAAGTTCGAGTAAATGATCACAATCTTTGTATTAGCTATATAGAAATCGTACTTAGTAAAATTGGAATGAGAGTCTTTTAAGTCTGAAGGGGTGGTATCAGTATTACTCGCTAACATCAGTATCAGTCATGCCCACATCACTGCCGATGGTAAGCATTTCCAGAGTATCTCGGGAGAAGTGATCCATATCCATGAGCTTCTGCTCAATGCCGATGGTGTGGCGTATAAAATTTGTCCACATCTCCGATGTTACTCCTTCAATCCCTTCCGTTAACAATTGTTTTACGTGTGGCATATTATAATGAGTGTTCCTGGATTTAACATAATTCTTTACTGATGTCCACACAAGCTCAATGGCGTTGAGTTCGCAGTGGTACGGCGGCAGGCGTAAAACTGTTTTATTATGCTCTCTGGCATATTCATCGACCACGTATTTTTCTTCTGTTTGCACTGAGCGTGCCATTTGGAGTAATCTGTTCCTGGCACAAGTATCAGGCACATGATGGTCTATTGATACAAGCCACTCCTTTAATTATTGTTTTCTCCACGTCGATGACGGTCTTATCTCTAATTTTCGGCTATGATATGGCGCATTGTCCATAACCACAACAGCATTTTCTTTTAATAAGGGCTCGATCCTGCAAAACCCATTCAAAGAACGTATCTCCGTTCATTTCGTCGTGGTAATCTGCTGTGTTGGTTTTCGATTCAAAACACAGCAGTCCCCCAGGTAAAAAACCATCAGCTGACCCAATGTGAAGCACGATAAGCCTTTTCCCCCTTCCTGTGGAAGCTGGTGCACCAGTAGATAGCCCTTGCCGCTTCGCGTCTTGTACGGACACCACATTCAAATCCCTCCAGACTCTGCTTCGACAATCGCCAGTATTTACCCATGTTTCGTCCAAATAATATATGGGCCGTTCCTCTTCTCTATCTTATACTGGCGAATTGTACGAATATACAGGGTGGGCTAATAACTATTAGCACCTCAGATATCTTCGAAACTATAAGTTCCACAGAAATATTTGCTGAAATAAAATTGCACAGTACAAAGGGGACCATCCGGTGGCGATAATCGTTTTTTGCAGAAGGAGGTACTTCGGACATTTGAAGGTCACCTCCATTTTTTTAAATGGATCGGTATGTTTTTACTTCCGTATCATGGTAGAGGATCTTATAACGAGTTCAACGACCTATTACATAAGGTCATTGAAGGTCACAGAAAGTAGAGAAAGGCGATAATACTTACGGTTTTGGTAGTAAATGAAACATACGTTTATAGTAGGTGTTCGAAATGATGACCATTACTGTCAATGCACCATTGGATTCTTTTTACGATTGATTGACTTGCAAGTCTTACAGCGTCAGAACTTATTGACGCACAGGCTGCAATAATTCGCTGTTGCATGTCGTAAGGTGTAATTGGTACTTCTTTGTACACTTTCTCTTTCAATGTTCCCCACAGAAAGAAATCTAGAGGTGTTAAGTCTGGTGAACGAGCTGGCCACGATATTGGACCGCCGCGTCCAATCCAACGATTTCGAAATTTTTCATCGAGTTCCCTTCGCGCAATCAATGAATAATGTGCTGGACATCCATCATGTTGATACCACATGGTTTGTCGTGTAAGTAAAGGTAACTCTTCTAGCAAAAGATCCAATGTATCCTTAATAAAATTAGCATAGATGTTGCCATTCAAATTTCCATTGATAAAATAAGGTTCAATAATTTTATCATCTATGATACCGCACCATACATTCACAGACCATTGTTTTTGATGGTCAATCTGTCGCAACCAATGTGGATTTTCCTCTGCCCATAAATGCATGTTATGCATATTAACATTCCCGTGATTTGTGAATGTTGATTCATCAGTAAATAAAACGGTATTAAGAAAAAACTCATTGTTTTGAATCTGACGTTTAGCCCATCGACAAAACTCAACGCGATTCATGAAGTCGTTCCCATGCAATTCTTGGTGAAGATTAACATGGTACGGATGAAATTTATGACGGTGCAAAATGCGAAGTACGCTCGTCCTACTAATCCCAGATTCGCGTTCAATTTTTCGTGAACTAATATGAGGATTTCTAGACACACTTGCGAGCACACCGATTTCTATTTCTTCGTTAATTACTCGTTTCTGGTGTTCACTTTTACGAACACTTAAACTACCGGTTTGCCTAAGTTTATCACACATATTTTTAAATGTTTGACGCGAAGGCTGAGACCGATGTGGATATCATTCAGCATACAAGTTTTTCGCCCTTACAGAATTTTGTTGGCATTCGCCATAAATAAGAAGCATATCGACTTGCTCTTCAAACGAATACATCGTTTCTACATCGTGATGTATTCGTTTGAAGAGCAAGTCGATATGCTTCTTATTTATGGCGAATGCCAACAAAATTCTGTAAGGGCGAAAAACTTGTATGCTGAATGATATCCACATCGGTCTCAGCCTTCGCGTCAAACATTTAAAAATATGTGTGATAAACTTAGGCAAA